TTGGCGTCTAGTTTTGGCATTTATTGGCCGGGGGAGGGGAGGTCACAGGGAATCAGGGGTCACCCAAAATATGACAGTCTCTATAGGGGAGGGTCATAAAATATAATACACATATATTGCGAGATTCATGTTAAAATGGGTATTTTATACTAAAGTATAATGTGCGTTTGTTCTTTTCGGGGAGAGTTATGTCCAAGGACATTGGAAGGGTCATCCAAAAATAGGACAAGCATTCGGAGAGGGGCATTAGTACATAAAAAAACCTCTGACCACTTCGTCAAAACAGGCAGTTAACATTTTCCAGTTATTTTCTGGACCAATTATTTGTTTTCACAAATATGCCAGCCCTCTCTCCACACTACTACCCAAGAATATCCAATGGTCGGTCCCTATAAGATTTATAAGGGGCACGGGTGGCACAGTGGCCTAAGGCGCCGCGATTCGCTGTGCAGAGTTGCGTCCCTTGGGCACGCCAGAAACCTATGATTGTGGGTTCGAATCCCGGTTCGCCCCGATTATGTTTCTAGGTTTGTCAGCACCATACCCGTGCTCTGGGGTTTCAACGAAGTGGTAAACGTCGGAGACCTGCATCACTTCGGGCTTTCCTCCCACATTACGCTGACACGCCGTGATATAACTGGAATACTGTTAAAAGCGGCGTTAAACCCAACTCACTCACTCACTATAAGATTTATACATTTGTGTTGTTTTGGCACTTGTGTCTCTCGCCATGTTACTCACACAATTACTTGGAAGATGGACGTTCTCGTGATGGAAATACGGACTGCTCAATTCAGTCCCTCAACTGCCAGACACGGATTCAGATCGCTGGTCTGTCAGCACTATATATGTTCACGGGTTTCACAACATTCAGCTAGCACGCCGTAATACTGTTTAAAACCGACATGAAACTCAGTCCTTCATTCTTTAGGCCAGTTAAAAAATGTATTAACTTCTCATGAATTGTTTAAAAACGGATAGGATTTTGTTTCATTTAACTTTGTAGTAGATTACAAAATAATATAACTATATAACTAAATTTGATTATTGAGTACAACGTGACCTCTTTGGCCACGACCCTGGAACTCAAAGTACAATATGTATGAAGACCCGTGAACATCTGGGTAAGAATTGATCTTTAGCAACCCATGTTTGCCGTAAGAGGCGACGGGATAGTGTAGTCAGGCTCGCTGACTTGGTTGATGCATGTCATCGTTTCCTAATTGCGTAGGTCGATGCTCATGATATCAACCACTGGATTGTCTGGTCAAGACCCGATTATTTACGGACCGCCGTCATATAGCTGGAATAATGCTGAAGGCGGCGTTCAACAACAAACAAACACACAAATGATAACAATATAAACAAGAATGACAAATTCTGCCTCCTAAAATATAATATTAAATCTTTTAATGTTATGTTATTTTAAATGCGTTAACTGGTAGTTGTAAATCGTGGCGCAATTAGTGAGCGAGTTAATAATTAACGTGGCATCGACATAGTTTCAGCCATATATACACAAAGAAAAAAGTTAAGCACAACCCCATTTCTGAACCATGGCAAACATCATGGCATGGGATAACTGACCATAGGAGCTGGGCGATACCAATGTCATCGGATAGAACAAACAAATAAAGAAGATATTGGTAAGTTGTGATTGAAATTTACGGACATAAACATCATGGAAACACAGGTACTGTTTTTGACCTTAGACAATTCCTAAAAAAAGTTTGGAGCTGCAGGATTAAGTAAACGAGTTACGTTTGATGTTTCATGTGAAAATGTTCCTTCAAGCCTCTACTTGACATGACACGTGAAACAGATCAGTAGCAGGTATAACCGCCATGTGCCCGGATGACGCATTCCACCCTACGTCTCATGCCTCCAGTCAGACTTGGATCTGTTGATAGGTCAACAACAACCACTCCTGATGCAATGCTGCTTCCAATTGGCGTAAATCTTGTACAGGAGGATCTCGTGTCTGTATGCGCCGCCCCAGAATATCCCAAACATGTTCAAGGGAGTTCAAAACTGGGCTTATTGCTGGCCATGTAATCTACGACTGCATGCGAACGATGAGGCCTGGCATTGTCATCCATGTGCTGAGGTCGAGTAGCAAGAGGGTGGTTGTCAAAATGAGGAACGACGACTGGCCTCAAAACATCCCGGATGTACCGAGCCCCAGTTAAGTTGCCCTTATGGTGACCAAATCCAACAGTCGGTTTAATGTTCCTGGGATGTAGGCCGTGTTCTGGTGCCTCCAAACTCTCGTTCTTCCATGAGTGACGTGGAGCAGAAAGCGACTTTCGTCTGACTAATGGATCCGTCACCAAGTTCTCAGATTCCACTTCTGTCGCGCAATACACCATGCTAAACGAGCAGCTTTGTGGTGATCTCTCAACAAGGGACGCTTTATGACTCGTCTAGCCCTCAGTCCTGCTGCTTTCAGTCGGTTCCTGACGGTTCTGGTGCTGAAACGATGATTGGGCAACCACAGCTGTTTCAGACGAGTACTTGTTTAAAAGGGTTCTATGAGACGAAGAAGGTCCCTGTCTTCGCGATGTGTCGTCACAGGAGGTCTTCCGGATCTGGGACGGTCCTGTACATCACCGGTCTGAGCATGTTTCTCGACTAAACGGCTTACGACAGTGTGATGATATTACAAGACATTCCTGCGTTATGCATGCCGATTATTTGCCATCTTGTGGCGTTTGATAATCGCCTTCGTGCCATGGGCACACAATGTCATGGAATAACTGTTTAAAACCGAGCTTAAGAAAGCAATTTTAACGTTCTTCCCGTAATTATATCTTTCATGACTCTTACAAATATTGGGACCAAATAATAATGAAATATATTAGGGTGTGCTTCACGTTTTTCTTTGTGCATATCACACAATCAACCTCCAACAAACATGTATATTGTGTCTGCAACAAAGAAAACGCACAACATTTCTAACGGGCCTTAAACAACATTTACTCAGAGAGACTTCTGTCAGTTTTACGATAAACTCGTTTTGTGTTGCATCATCAGTAGGATCAGTGCCCGTGTACCTCCAGATTCCGTAATACCTTAATCAAGACGATCCTCTCAAGACGACATTTGTGAGCTCACCTCTTTGCATGGAGATATTTTTTCTCCGAGATACATCGACATTACTTTGCCTGTTATTCCAGATCAGCTGTAAATGTCCGATTTATCTCGTCGGCTGCATGTTCCTCCTCCACCCACGTCATAGCCAGACACACGTGGCAATTAGCATGGATAAGCACTTCGGTTTTGAAGCATGCACTCTCAGCCTACTCTGTTTATCGTTTCAATGTAGCAATAGAAAGAATATCCCTTTTACGTTCCTTTAATGTGTAAAGATGTGGGTGTAGCAGACGCGCTGTGTCCAATCTGCTTGTGTTACTGCATAGTGAGGTGAGGTGAGGTGGGATGAGGTGAAATGAGGTTTAACGTCGCGTCCAGGATTATTGCACTCATATATGCACGTGTGTGGCTGCTTGTACTAGTCCGGACTGATGCCAATGAGAATGAGATACCATGCCCAGTTTAATATGAATACCACACCCCACAGTATACTGATTCCATGACGACCAGTCCATGTTTTAGCCCCTTAATGCCGAGCGCCAGACAGGGTAACAACAAGTATCTTCTTTTAACGTCTTTTGGTAAGACAGGGATGCCAGGGATCGAACCCCGGACCTTCCGCTCTGCCACTTGACCACGGAGACGGTCTACTTCATGGTGAGGTGGGGTTAAGTGTGCATGCGTGTGATAGTCCAGATTTATGCGGTCTTTATAGTGTTAGCCTGCTGAGATACCATACCGCAATTTCAACACTCAGCCGAAGTCCTTCTTTTATCCACTTAATAACGAGCGTCAGGCAGGGCAACAACAAATACCGCCTTTTACCATCTTTGGTATGACGCTGTGAGGGGATCGAACAACCGACATTCCGCTCTCCGGGTATAGCTTTATCCATTACACTACGGTGACCTTATATCAGCTGTGTTTCTGTTAGATATCTTGCTCTCACTGGAGCTGTAATATGAAAGGTGTTCAGGCTCGGTGAATGCGTGTCATCGTACCCCGTCGGCGTGAATCTTTGTTCACAATATCGACCTCTGGATTGTCTAGACTCGATTTGTTACAAGCCGCCGTCATATAGCTGGAATATTGCTGAGAGCGGCGTAAAACAACAAACAAACAAACAAACACAATCATAATGCAATACGTTTAGTCAAGACTCTTTAAATTTAACAATTGAACATGTTCATTTCAAACAGGTAAAAAGTCTGAAAATCAATGTTTTCGAACCGACGTGATATACGTAAAGACTTTACGTATTTAACAACTGACTTCGTTATTTCGTTTTTTTAAAAACGTTGTACAAGCTCACAACAGTAGTTTGTCAAAGCGAAATATAATCTATATGATATTTGTTATTCTGCACTGAAACCATTCATTTGTTGCAATGACCGAAATCATTAAAATGGTAATATCACAAACCGGTTTGGGGAAACGTAAACTTTAACGCTTTAAAACTAAACCCAGTGTATTTTCGCTTTGTGTGATATTCGACATGAGTTCCCCGGTGCTATAAAGCAGGCGCCGCAACTCGTGTAGAATTGCCTCCCTTAAAAGTTGGTTCAAATCCAAGATTCGCCCAGATAATTACTGTTCTGTCAGCATCTGACCCTTTCACGTGGGATTTACGTGTAAAGCATGCATTTCTACATACATCTTAATGATCTCATATTGCGCGTATAACTCGTGCGTTTCCTGACATACAGGCACTGATCATGTCTTGCACGTGCAAGTCATGCATTTCTCGTCCTTGAAATTACCTTTCCACGAGCCATTGCGATGCCCACTCTGCAGATTCCAGCCTATTAAAGGCGTGACGGCATCATTCTAATCATGCTAATGGGAGTAATTCGTAATAAATATTTTTTCTCCAATGTGATAAATGCATACTAAATGACAACAAGGAATCATTTTATGCGTTTATTTTTTAAAAAGATATGATTTATGTTGCGAGTGAGATTGACATGAGAAGGGCTATCCTGTTAGGGTTACACAGTATATCCATGTACACCCTGTTAATGCAGGTTCACAGAGACTCACTGGGACAAAACACTGATTATATAGCTGGTTGTGCCTCAACAGCCTACAGACAGGGGCCCTTGAAACAGACCCCCGTTTCATACCGTTCGTTAGAAGTCAAGCATACTGTGTTAAACTCTGTGTGCTGCAAAACAAAAGTTTTAAAAAAAAAACGCAACGGAAGAATCCATCTCCATTGAACAGGGGACGAGGGTGGCGTGTGACGCGGTGCACGTGGAGTTCATGCTCTACGTGTATTCGTCAATGCGACTGACCCGACACATGCACTATAACTATCCGCATCACTGGCCCACGAACAAAACCTTCAACACGTGCTGCAGTGACCGACTGCACGTTTTATGCAGATCCGCGGTTAATTCCCACGTCGTGAATTTTACTTAAATTCTTATTATAATATATTATAATAAGCATTACATGAGGCGGTAATGTGACATGGATGATTAATATCGATTACATTTGGCCTCATGTATATCTATTTCATATATCATATTATAGTGCATATGGAACTGAAAATATCGAATAATTCAATATGTCAGAAAAGATATGGAATTCCAGAAAAATAAGAACTTCGTATGACTAATCTCATGTCGTCCCTAATAATATTGTACAATAGTGAATCATATTGTTTGTAGACACTCCGGTTATATATTGATATAGCCAATGACATGCATTAAGTTAGCAAAACTGTAAGAAAGCCTCATTCATAGACCTGTGTAAAGTTTTAGAATCCATACTTCAAAAATTCTTCTGTCACTATGACAATATGTTAGTAAAAGCCCACTTCATGACATCAAGTATTTCGCTGCCTCTCGACATACACGTCTGGAAAACCGTAAAGCAAGTCATCCTATAGATTTCCATATTCAACAGCCATTGGGGGAAATCGTATCCTGTGTTAATTTCTGAAGAAACAAATTGTTTTTGTTTACAAAGGGACCTACTCACAACAAAATACAGAAACCGACATCCATTTTCTTATGACATATGTTTCAGGTGTTTTTATGGCAATGATTAGCTGAGTATCCTTTTACAAGATTCCTCTGTTTCATGGAATCAAGGAATGCCTCAGCATCGGGAAGAACTGGCAGTGCTCTTGTACAGCTTTCGAGCAGGGGACGTGGGTATCTTCGCATTTATCAAAATGATATCAATATCACATGTGGGTATTAAAAATGATATCACTATCATATGTAGATATTCAACAAGATTTATGGGCTTTTGGAAGAAAGAAGAGTGATACTTTACCTTATTCCATGTATAAAGTGTATAGTTATGATTCTCAAACAGTACCACCCCCACTCACCCCCCTCCCCCAATAGTTCAGTAGCCAACTAGTCGTTATAGCTTACGTTGTCATACCCGATGTTGACATCGTACTTTCTTTACAGTTCGACTCGCTTGTGATCATTCGTGACAACTCGTGTTATTCCGGGACAAGCCGAATAGCGACTCGTACCCCTCTCGTTGACATTTTGATGCGACTGGGTTCCGTCTAAGCGCATAACTAAAAGAAGTGTCAACTAGTTGCGTAACGATTCACGTATATTTCCCCCATATATCGTATATATTCCAGATGCTATTGAAAACACATGGGAACTTTATATCATATTATACAGAATGACTGAACACATTTAACTGTACTCTTGGGTATAGACAGATGTACAATCAAAAAATATTCCTGAGGGATTATTTGACGCCATGTTTTTGGTTTGTTGCGTTTTCGAACATAACAATCATGATAGGGGGGCGAGTCTTCTTGCAGGCTACGGAAAGGGGCGAGTGGTGACGAATGGCTTTTGATTCCATGTGTAACACGTCTGATACCGAGTGAAGCGGGTCATGATGAAACCTGCAATCTGAACACACCTTACACATAGATATTGATTAAAACATATGCTCTGAGTGGTACATGCTATTTTAGTAATTTGACATAAATAACAACACAATGAACACGTGTTTACTTTAAATTAATCACGTATGTACATGCCATACTGACTGCAACATACACTCAAACATCTACCTTCTATTACATGGGTTAACTTGCATGTGTACATATACTGATGGAAGGTCGCTGTATGGCGGAAACAATGCCGATGCGACGTTAAGTTTTAACTCACCTCTGATGGAAAGGAGTAAGGTAACAATGAAACCTATTTGGGAAATATGCTTTACTGTCATCTGAAATAGCGCATACAATTCAACACGTCAGAATCAAATGTTGACATGTGTTTGTATGCATCGTTTCCAACGTGCATTTGGTAGTTAAGACTGGGAACCCATGAGAGCATATTATTTAACTGTGTCTAAAACCATGTGTTCCGGTATTTATTTCCATCAGTACAGGTTTCACATGATTGCACATTATTGAACGTAAATTACGGAACTGTCAGAATCGTAGAAGTTTCTTTCGTTTCTTAAGCTTTGAGAATCTGTGAATTATTGAGAAAGTGAGACTTTTCCCCCTCAGTGAGAATAGCTAAATAGGGTTGTTTGAACCTCATAAAATCTCCAAGAAATCCTAAAAATGAATTGTCTTAAAATGAGGCGTCGATTACGACGATCAAACAATCAATTTTGATATGCACTTACGGTAAAGTACACATTCCTGTGATAACAGTCAATACAGATATGAAAATGTAAATGGCCGCAGTGGGGTAGTGATTTAGTATGTAAAAAATCCGACCATTAATCAGACAGCAATTCTCACATGTCTTCAACACTGAAAAGCAAACAGGCAACTTAAAACAACACATAACAGTTGACACAATTTGCCAACACATAAATACACGCCTAAATACAAACAAAATCCGTTCAAGTCTCCATTTATGAATTATTGCACATGGCGCCAAGGAAGTCTGTTGCATAAATGGTGGCACTTTGTTTTCCTTCAAAACGTATCACTCCTGCTCCTAACGATCCTCTTCTTAAAAGCCTTCTTCATGTTGTAGAGTCGCGAGCGTTTCTCGAGGCCGGAAACGGCAGCAGTGAGACCTTTCACAAATTCCCTCTTCATCTGACAAAGTAGTTCCTCCATTGTCTCATTCACAGCTTGAAATCCCTCCGCGACGGAGAGTTCATATTTTGGGCAGTCCATTTCTCCCGCCAATCCAAGTCCTTCGTCTTCCGTCACTGCACGTGCAGTAAGTAGGTCAGACTTATTGGCGACCAATACGATTGGAGTATCTTGACCTCTGACCTTAAAAAGCCAGTCTTTTAGTTTCGTAGCTTCTTGAAAACTCTGACGGTCTGTTACAGAATACAGCAACACAAACCCGTCGCCCCATCTCAGATGTTTTTCCAGAGTTTCCTCGGGCATCTGGAAGTATCATATTTAATTTTCTTAAAATGTTCGTTTATGTTAATTACTCGTCAGTGTCTTAACGTAACGTTGAGTTAGCTACCTACAGTTGTAGATTTTACTTATCGGCGACAAAATCTACGACTGTCTAATAAACAGTTAAACAGTTATATGAACAGCTTACTCATTGTTTTGAGAGAGAGAGAGAGAGAGAGAGAGAGAGAGAGAGAGAGAGAGAGAGAGAGAGAGAGAGAGAGAGAGAGAGAGAGAGAGTACACCTCGGCGTCGAGAATCGTTGTTTATGTCACCAACGACATGTTTACATGGCCCAGACTTAATCATACACTGAAACTTTGGAGAAACGTTTAACTTAAAATGATGTTTTGGTGATAATCTTAAATTTCTATCTTGGTGACGTCCGTACCAGCGATGCTGTGTCGAGGATCTCCAGGGTCAGCTCGTCGCGGGGGGCGGCTATCTTGTGCGTGTACATCATCTCTGGAATGTAAGATGGACGTATTAATCAAACGTTGCCTTTTTATTTATCAGTAGTTTATGATGGTAGCCTCGAAGTTAAAACCTTCACTTACCAGGCCGAAAACCCGGGTTCAATTCCTCCAATGTTTAAAGATCAGTGACCCCCGCTGTGGTATTGATATATGGCATAACACCACACCCACTCACCATCGGTGATTGACTGAGCTCTTCGATATAGCGTTGTTTACTCTCTGTATATATGAAAACATGTCATGAGGACAGTACTATCAAAAGGGTGTGTGGACACCTTTACGTCAATTTCAGTAATATTGACTACATTATGTGAGGATCGAACCCAGACCTTCCTTACGACAAGCAAATACACTCGCCACTGGGCTACCCTTTCCAAACTGAACCATGGTGATTGTGATTGTGATGCTTTCGAAGAGTGAAGTGGTCGGTAGTAAGTGATGGCTGTGAACTAAAATAACTACAGGGGATTGAGTGTCTACAACGGTGGAAAACTATGAATGGTTGTTGGTTAACCTCGTCGCAACATTTACCATCATTTGATACCGGTCAGCCTCCGTTAAGGTTTTACAACCCCTTTCTCATTGTCACCTTCATAGTTAACTACGGCGTTGGGAACAACTTACCGGTCCTACTTAATAACGTCCCGGAGCATCCGGGCAACGCCACGGAGCGTCCGGGAACTTCCGGGTGAATGACAATATAACAAAGTGTATTCCATACAGTTGAGTTCTGGTATTGATTATAATAAAATGCCATTAATAAGGGTGCGAACCCCCTTCTCTCCTGAATCGCGAATATCTACTATTTTTCCTCTCATTGCTCACCTCTGACTCCCGAATACTATTTAACACATATCTCAAAAGTATTGAGAAAAGTGGATGCGATAAAAACTCTAATTACTGAAACAAATACCGAAAAAACAATTTATATGAAGACAATATTTACATACACCACTATTCTTTTTTAAATGTTGAATCTCATCTTCCCGAGGCAAGAGAGTTAACTGACTTTAAACGTCCAGTTTCCACCCTTACAGAACTAGTCTGGAATTCCTGGGCTCGATCGTAGCGCCACCTGTGGCTATTACCAGTTATATCCTTTCTAAGCCTCCCTATGGACCAATCAGATTCCACCTCTCGTATCACTTGCGTTTGCTTCACACAAAATGGTGGCGCCCCGTCAGGACGATCTGATCACTATTATACGTCACATCTCCAGTTAAACCTCAACATGCTAGTTTTTGTAGCCTTGGGCGTAATAAAGTTCTGTTCTGTTCTGATAATGAAGTTCTATATCGTGATAAAACGGGTCTTACATCGCGAAATGCATCAAATCACGTGAGCACCTTGTTTAGAAACATGAAAAGATTTGGAAAATATCTGCTGACGGGTTGGCGGTGAACATGCTTTGTAAATCCTGCAATCGACGTAAATATGCACGACAGTTTGCGAACCGGATTTCGATTTCGGTGAGCGATTTTGATTGGACTATGCATAGACTCGTTAGTCCAGCCAAAATGTAACTCAATAATACCAGCCTAGTTCGGCAAGGGTACCGGTGGAAACTGGATTTGTATATAGTCAGTTAACTCTCTTGCCTCGGGAAGATGGTTGAATCTGCGAACCAAATTCGATTTTATTTTATTCCAACTAACGCGGTGGGTGTAACTTCGTCTTAGAAGGATACAATGTAAATTTGCTTATGTAAAAAAATAAATATCACGCCGAAGACACGGGTTCGATTCCCGACATGGGTACAATGTGTGAAGCCCATTTCTGGTGTCCGCCGCTGTGATATTGCTGGAATATTGCTAAAAGCGGCGCAACTAACTCACTCCCAACTCAGTCACAAACACGTACAACACAAATATTTTATTCTAAAGTTACTATGGCATTATAATCTGAAATTGTTACCAGAGTGTATTAATTCGCTAAACCATGGAATGTAGCAGAAACTGAAAACCTCGACAAAGGGATTGTTCCGTTGTACAACTGTGGTTGTCGTAAGGCCGTGTTTTGCGATCGGTGCAAGTCGTGACACCACCCTATAAATTAACTCCCGGACGTCTGATGAAACCTCCCGGACGTTTCCGGACGCCCCCGGACGTTAAATAGTAGGACCCCTTAAAGCGTTCACCTGTTATGTCGTGGCCCAGGTTCGATTCCCCACATGGGTACAAATTGATTATGTTCCCCAGTCTTTATATTGCTAAAAGCGATGTTAATCCACCTCACTCACTCCTAGGCAAATGTGTTAAACTCGTTCGTAGCCCCCCGCTGTGTTCGTCGAAGTGACAGTAACAAATCACCTGCCTTTGAAATACCATGTCATCGCTGAACCATGCTATTGTCTAAGGTAAAATCCATAGGTGCAGGTGTGCGAAAGAGTGGCACCCGCGGAATGCTAGACTTCTTATCACCAACCTTTCTCTCACGGTACTGATACCCAGACATCATAACCCATCTATAAATATCAGACTTTTCAAAGTAATTTTAGCACCTGTCAGATATTCTTGGATCCGACACCGCCGCTAAACAAAGAATTTGTTCGGCGTCCTGCATGTGGTTGTTTGTCTCAGTTCTCCGACATCCTCAGTCCGCTTTTACCCGCATGAGATGAATATTGCTCAACATTCTCCAAGGACGTATCTAAAACAACATTCCCCCTAGGATTTCCGGAGCAAAATACTCCCCCACTATCAAGGTGTGACGTCTTGCGTTATCCATCTCCACGTCGTTGATCTTTGTCCACAGCGTCAGCAGTTTCGCCGACTGGGTTTCTTGATTTGTTAGCACCATGTTTGTTGAGTTTCTCCAAAGTTATAAACGTCTAGGACCTGCATAACTTCGAGCTGTCCTCCAACATGTTCACACGATGTCATATAAACTTAAATGCTAGTACACGCAAGTCACTCGATACTGTTCGAGGTATGTTTTCGACTGATAACAGTGAAACCTGCAGTTCGGAAACCTCAATATCTAGACGATTACTGTTGAGAACGTCCACAGATATTCACATGAAAATAACTTCAAACCTTAACATTGTTACTCCGAATACTTTCACTTGTAATGGTACCGTCCGAATTAACGAGGTTTCAATTTACTCCGACGACTCTTTGCAAAACTTCCCTTGTCAGAGTTGCGTCCCTTGGATGTGAAACAGGCATGCTATATAAACTAAATACAGTTCAAGGAATGCCACCAAGTTTTCAATATTTCATGCACTAGCGACAAGGCTTAGTATTTTCTAATATATTCATTCGAAATAGATAATTCGTTGATAGTAAGTTCTCCCTTGACACAACCCCACCTTCCTTCAAGTGTTTCGTTTCCAAAGAAAATACATCTTTGATACACATTGCCGGATATATATTTTTTTGCTTCGAAAATCTTAGCGGAGATTTGCATATTTGTTAATTTCATGGATTTTTTCAAGTTTGTTTATTTCCTCGCGTGGAGGCATTTTTCTTTTTGTGATTACATCCTTTGCTAAGTGAAAACTTGAAGAGAGATGATAAGAGCAAGATAAAATCTGTTCATTTCCAAATAACAAACAGTCGTGCCAGTCTTGTGGAATAAGGTCATAATGTCTATCTTGATTACGTTAGGGGAGGTTTTACTGCAACATTTATCTTGGAAACTTATAAACTCCATGTCCCTTGGTAATACCTGCGGTTATTTTCGGCCTGCCAGACCTTTTTCATAAAACAGTGACAGACCTCAAGGCCGGCAATTAAATGTCCACCGTTTTAATACGTAATTTCATTTTTTAATCGAAATTGACATTGAAACGGAGATGTAAAGGTTTTGCAATCAATATGTTTTTTCCCAAGTCGAGTAGACCGCCTCCGTGGTTTAGTGGCAGAACGTCCGCCCCGAGGGCGGAAGGTCCGGTGTTTGATGCCCGACCGCGTCATACGAAAATACGTTAAAAGATGGTACTTGTTGCTACCCTGGCTGGGGCTCGACATTAAGGGGCTAAAATATGGACTGGTCGGCTCGGAGTCAGTATACTGTGCCTGAGTGGGGTATTCATGTTAAACTGCGGCACGGTACCTAACTGGGCTGGCACTATAAAATCGGCATTAGTCCGGACTAAAACAAGCCACACACACGTGCATGCACGTCGCTATATCAGTGCATTAATCTTGAACGCGACGTAAATCCCCACTCCACCTCACCCAAGTTGATTAAATGGAATTACAGTATCTACGACTTTCCTCCCATATTTAGCTAATATGCCTTTATGTAACCGAAATAACTCAATCACTAAACGACTAAAATGCGCTGCGCTGCCAATAGGTTTTGAGGCATTCGCTTCTGTTAAGGAGGTCAAACGTGTATATAGACCAGACTTCTTTGAAATCGACACATGTTATTGAAGCGAAACGATTCTTAATTAACATTTAGTTGAGGATGCATGAAATTTACGACCTGAAGTTGCGACCAACTGCAACTACATGAACATCCAAAAGCTTCTTAAACACGAAAAAGCATCTTAATTTTTCAACGAAATTATTTTGTTTTCTAAAACATTGCACTATTTTTGAAAGTATCTATTGCTACGGCAATTACCGTTAGACTACTGCCGCATTGTCTGCTGCAACACCGAAGTCGAATACGTCATCGACGACTGCACAGCAAATACTGTAAATACATAATATGCAGCAACTATATCACTACTTACACCAACAACTACATCTTCAACCGCATCAGCTAATACTATAGCTACTACCCCAACTACAACATACATCTGCGACTTCTCACACTTCGACGACACCAACCCTCACTACTATTACGTCCTACCGCCTCTGTGGTTCAGTGGTAGAGCGTTCGCCCGGAGAGCCAAATACCAAATGACGTTAAAAGATGGTACTTGTTGTTACCCTGTCTGGCGCTCGGCATTAAGAGGCTACAAGGATTGGTCGTCTCGGAGTCAGTATTCTGTGTCTGAGTGGGGTATTCATGTTAGACTGCGTTATTGTGTCT